TGGTCTCTCCCAGCATGGGCGGCATCCCCGCACGGAACAGCAGAGGCGAGCGGCTGCTGCTCTACATCGGCATCATCGACATCCTGCAGTCTTACAGGTGAGGCGGGCCGTGCCGGGGCCGCTCCCAGTGCTCTTTCCCATGGCATCGGCGCCGGGCCTGGCACACTGGCTGCGGGTTCGCTGGGTGCTCAGTTTCCTCGGCTTTGCGTGCGCCCCAGGCCCCGGTGCCGCACGCCATCTGTCGGGCCGTGAGACAGCGCGAGTATGGTCCTCACGGGGAGCTGCAGGCGCACTGCCCTCCCCGGGGAGGAGAGGCAGGCGGGCATCAGGCCGCAGAGCTGGGCCGCAGCACACGGTGGTGAGGAGACGCTGGAAACTGCCCGCGCAGCATGGTCCTCCACCGCGGCTCGTTCCAAGCCCGGCAGATGTCGGCGCTCGCTCGGCTCTCAGAGCGGGAGGGCTTCTCGGGCGCCGGCTGCCCTCGCTTTGCCTCCTGAGTCTCCCTTTTCCCTGAAAGCAGCAATGCCCTCAGCAATACCAGCCTGTTGCCGGTAGAAGTGTGGGCTTGTGTTTCCTCGGCGTCTGTCCTTTGCAGTCCAGGCTGGCAGGGATTGCCTCAGGCGAGAGCGCCTCTGTGAGTGGGTCCCCCGCTGGACAGAGCCCCGTCCGCCGTGCCGCCGCTCAGCCTGTGGTTCGCAGCCCAGGGCGTGGTGCCCGCCCTGGTTCTGCGTCTCCGCTGCGCCTGAGGCCCAGCCGTGACTTTACTCGGGTCTGTGCAAACGCTTCTTAGCGGTTCCCTTGGCTTCATCCATAGACACGTTCTTTTGGGAGCGCCTGGGCTTCCTCTTCCTCAGAAGCAGTTTCTTACGTTTCGAGTAGTTTCACATGTGGAGGGGCTGGCCGTTTCCGGAACAGGGGCTGCTTTTGCTTAGCAGTTTTCCCCTTAATTTACTTATTCTGCATTTTACTGTGATTATTGAAAAGAAACAAGTGAGGCCACGTCAGCGTTTCTCTCAGAATTCTCCTCCGCCAGATTATCCAGTTTGGCAGGCCACGCGCTCTGCTTCCTACACCGCCGTCGGTGATGCGATGTCAAACGTGGCTCCTCCACGTGATCAAGGCCCCTTTCTTGTTTCCAGTGAGATTTTCCTCACTTTGCTTTGGACCTTCAGGGGCTTAGCATCCCAGGCCCACTTGGAACTCGAGTGCTCTCAGGCCCACTCCCTCGTCGGCACGTCTGTCCGGGTCTGCCAGCGCCCTGCGAGCGCGTGTAGTGGGGCGCCCGCTCAGCTAACGGCGACGCGCATTTACCGCGTCAGGTGTTAGCAGGTGCGCAACTGCGTGGGTAGGATGGAGGGATCGTGTGAGAGAAGTCAGTCAGGAGGAAGACAGGGGGGTCATCTCACCCGTGTGGGATGGAGGGAAACAGAACAAAGGAGCAGGTACGACGCCGCCGCAGCAGGCCTAGAAATGGGACGTGGAGTCTCGTCCCCCGAGAGGAAGACGGGGTGTGGAGGGGGGTGCCGTGGTGGTGGCGTGCTGCGGTGACCCGCCTCAGGCAGTGTGACCGTGTCTCTACATTCTACACGTCTCCGTAAAAACAACACAGTGAGAAACGGGAACGAAAGTAACATCTAGGCACGATTTGGCTGGTGACCTGGCACAGTCTCCGGTGCCAGTCTGTCAGCCAGGGCAAAGGTGCCGTCTGGGGGCTTCTGGTTGGCTCAGCTCTTGGCTCCAGCAACCGCGTCACATCTGGTGACTGGCAGCATTTAGCTCCTCTCAGGCCACCTCTCCAACTGAGCGGTGCCCAGTTCCACAGCAGGGCGCGAGCTTCCTTTAGAGCACGTGGGGAGGGCAGGTCTGTGTGCTGCCGCAGAGCTGGGTTCATACCGGCGCGGCGTGCTGGAAGCCCACGAGAGGCGCCTGTCACGCCAGCCCACGCAGCAGGGGGCTCACGGCGACGTGCTAGTGGCACCGGCCACACGAGGCCTTGAAGAAAATTGGAAAAGAGGGTATTGGGGGTCGTTTCTGGTACTCAGACATTAGGCGGAGGGGTGCGCTTGCACCCCCATACCCTCTAGCCGCCTCTGACTCCCAGTGGGCCGGGGTCGAGTTTGGAGGAGCAGTACGGGGTTTGTCTTGGGAGGGAAGTCCCTTTTCTCACCGACTAACTCTCCCCTTGTTTTTCTCCTGGCAGTTCAACCCTCTCGGAAAAACTTGAAGTCACAGAGTCAGAGTGCAATCACGTGAGTGTACGGTGTGGGCGGGGCACGCCTGGCGGCTGCGGGTCAATGCCTGGCCGAGGGCTGGCCGAGGGCTGGAGCGGCGCCCCGGCCGCTGGGCACGGCCCAGTCTTGGGTGCTGTTCTGCTGTCTCTGCCCCCCGCGGCGGGAATGGCAGCCCTCGAGCTGCCGGCCTGGTCAAGTCGCTGACTTGCTCAGGATGGACTTGACGCCATTCTGGCTCTTACTTCACAGGCCACGTCCTTCACCTCGCACCCTTTCCCTCCCCAGTGAGAAGAGCTCTCAGGATCTGGAGCAGGACTCTGCCATCTGCGCGATTCAAGACGTCAGCTCTTGCCCAGCGACGCTCAGTTTCTTGTTGGCCCTCGAAAGGGGCGCAGTGGGGCTAGAGGACACCCGCTCCTTCCCCAGGAAGGCTCTCGTCTCGTTCCCCTTCCCTGCGGTGGGCGTTAGCTAGTGCCTCGGACAGTTGGGGACCACAGCACCCCCGCCCGAGTGGGTGCCGTGAAGCGTCAGCCGGCCAGCCGTGGCCCCCGCAGCTGGGTGGCTTCCGCCCGTCTGCTGACAGTGGTGTCGCCGAGCCCGGTGGTTCCCCCCCACCGCCCCTTACCAGGAGCTGGACTCTTCTCTCAGGACATACCTGCTGGCGCGCGATCTCCACGAAGCTTTCTGGAAGCAGAGCCTTGTGATCTGTGTAAAGACTTTGTGGGTTGAGGGTGTCTTAACCGCCTCCCGGCCTCTCTCTCCCTTGAGAGAAGGAAACTCGGCCCCCAGCACAGCCCAGCCGGTGTCCGAGCGGCGCTTGAGCTCGGGGGAGCCGACGCCGACGCCGGCCAGGCGGCCGCTCAAGCTGCTCCTCGCCCGGTGAATTTCTCAGACTGCGGGAAGAGCAGGACACGGGGTGCCTGTACCCCGTTCTTTCAACAGTGGGGCAGTCATAGGCTGCGTCAGAGCCCTCGCGGCAGGGAGCGCTCTCACTGCCAGGCCACCGGGATTACTATTTTGCAATTTGAAATGTATGCTGGTGGCTTTTATAAACACGAAGACTCACCAAATGAATTTCAGATCCTTCTCCGACGGAGATTTCCCCTTACTCTCCCCCCTTTGCAACAGTGTTCTGCTGTTGGCGGAGCGGGGCAGTGCCCACTGGCGGTCGGAGCTGCCGGGCGAGCGGATTCTCACGGTCTGGGGCTCGGCAGATGGCGCCCGGTGGCTCACCGCTGAGTCGCCGCACGCCTCTTGCCGGCCGGAAGCCCGGAAGCCCTGGACGTGGCGGCTGTGACCCCAGGCCCCGCTCGCTCCCGGCGGGGGTGCGCAGCTGCGCCCACCGACCCCGGCGCCGCCCCAGGCCCGCCCCCCCCCCCCAGTAACTGTCTATATTAGACACCCACAGCCCGTTTCTGGCTGCTGTCTTTGCTGCCATGTTCTTTTTTTACAAGAAGGAAAAATTCTTGCTATTTTTTTTTCATAATTTACTATTTATGATGTATTTAAGTGTTTTATCCAGGACTATTTGAGGGACTAGGAGGGAGGGAGGTCTGGGGCTTTGGGAAGGGGACAGGGCACAACATTTGTAGGAAGTGTCTCCATGTGCCCTACTTTGTATTGTCCAGAAACGGCCAATGCGACAGTGGTAAATGCCTGGTTTTGTGTATTAAACTTGCGTCATCATTTAGACCTCTTGTGTCTGTCTCGCGGCTCTTTCGCCTGCGCGCGGGGCACTCGCGGCACCTGCAGACAGTGCCCCGGGCTGGTGGGGGGGGGCTGGGCGGAGGTGGTGTTCAGGCTCCCGTTGAGGGGTGGCCCCGGGCAGTGAGAGAGCCTGCCTGAGCCCGGCCCCCTCGCCCGCCCCCAGCCTGAGGGCGTCCCCCCCACCCCCGCAGCACTGGGCCTGAGTGAGCTCGTGAGAAGCTGGGGTGTCGGCGCAGACGAGGGTGGGACTTGGGCAGAAAGCAGCACTGCCGCTTCCACCCTGAGCTTAGGCCGCCTCCGGCCTGGCCGAAGGCCTGACCGGTGTGGGAGGCCCGTGCCCGCCGTGGGGGCGCCAGTGGTGACTAAGGCGCGGCCCTCAGGGTGCGCCTTCGGGTGGGGGGCGGGCGCTGCGCTGGTGGGGCCGTGGGCAGCAGGGCCGCGCGCGGCTGAGGGCAAACCCAGGGGGCGGAGCAGCTGGACCCACGCCGCCGCCTGGGTGGGGGCTCCCGGCCTCGGGCGCTGCCCGCCCTCCGCGCGCCCAGAGGCCCCTCTAGTGGCCGGCGGCCGCCACTGCCCACAGCTGTCGGCGGGTGGGGAGCGCGGCAAGATGCGGGAGTCATTCCGGGAGAGTCGCCAGCCTGTCGGACCCCGGGTTAGTCACTTCTTGAGTGTTTCCAGGACACGAGCAGCAGCTCAGTGGCAACTGCCCACATCTTTTTTCTATTGAAATTCTTCTAATTTATATATAGAAGACATCTTGGAAGAAAAAGTGAAAGAAAATACCTAGCAAATTTTGTGAAATTATTCTTTAATTCTATTGTATGTGCTTACTCTACAGCCCCCCTCCCCTTTTTTCTTTCTCTTTTTATATCTTACTGTGGAACGCCTAGAACAAAAGTTGATGGCTGGGCAGACTGCCTTGTCGTGGCTTCAGTACTCATCAGCATAAACAGACCCACCTGTCTCATCTGTACTTGCTGCTCAGCCCCGTTTCCCCACACCAGGAGGGCTAAGTCACAGCACGTCCCAGACACCACAGCCTGAAATACTTCAGCATGTAGCTCAAGCCGCGCGGACTCCAAAATAGAACACCGGACCCTCCCTGGGGGCGCAGCGGGTCAAAGCGCAGCGCTGCGAGTTCCATCCCGGCCAGGGAGGGGCCCCAGGGCGAGCAGACCCCTCCCGGCTCCCCGCTGCCCCCTCAGCCGTGGGCTTCATCCATCTGCCTGTTCTGCTCCCCGCTCTGTCTGGGGTGTCCTCTCAGCCCCTCACCTCCGGCCTGCACCCCAGTTCTGTATGCATGGATGAATAAATAAACCTTTAAAGAGCCTCCTTTTCTGTCGCTCTTTCCCAGGCTGGGGTGCTGCTTTGCGGTCTCACCACCGGCCTCCCAGGCCTCTGAGGCCGCGGCACCGCCCACACGGCCTCCGGCCTTTGCCGGGAACAGGACAGCGCCCCTGGGTCCCTGGGCCCTGCTCCTCCGCTGGGGCGGAATGTCTGCTTGCTTGTCACGACAAGGACACCGGGCGGTGCACCGCTTTTGAAGGTCGTGTCCTGAGGAGCCCGGGGCATTTTTTTTTATGGTGGTGAAATCTCATCAATTTTGAGAATTATTTTGAAATGAATTTGTGGAACACCGACCTGACTCCAGCGTTTGTGCTGGCTTCTGTTTTGGACGGCGCTGGGCTGCGGTGCGCTCTGACCGCTGCCCGCTGGGCTCGGCCTCCCCTGCGTTTACCTTCTAGTGTCCCTTGGTCTGGCTCTGTGCTGGGTGCCTGTTTCGCTAACGGCGTCCTCCTAGTTTTGAAAGTGTTTGGTTGATCTGTGAGCTTGTCACTGTTTCTCTATGCATTCCGGTCCCCCCTTTCCTGCTATTACAGACATTTTCCCTTTGGGGTAAGGAAGTTGTACTCCCACACAAGTCGCACTGGGTACCAACTGCTTTTGCCAGCACTGTGAAGCTAACCACAGCTGATCCGGCCAGGGACTGACCCTGGCCAGTGGCCCCCGGGCGCGGCAGACCTCTCCGCTCTGCTCGCTGCCCCTCGGTAGTGGGCTTCTCCATCCGCCTCTTCCGCTGCCCCCTCTGCCTCTGGTGGATCCTCTACGTCCCTGCACCTCTGGCCTGTGCCCCAGCTCTGTCTGCGTAAATAAATAAATCCTTTAAAAAAGCCTCAAAACTGTCACCATTCTGGGTAACACCTGGGCATTCCCCTTCCCACCTCCACGCGGGACCCCCTTCTCTCCCCTTCCCTGCAGGCCTAGGGTGGGTTTCCGGTTCCACTTGAGTGTCATCCAAATTTTTTTTAAAAAGATTTATTCCTGCGCACAGAAGTGGGGTCCAGGCCAGAGGTGCAGGGGCCGAGCGGCTTCCCCAAGTCAGGGGGGCGCAGAACAAGCGCATCAAGGAAGCGCACCGCAGAGGGGCGCGGCGGCCGGTCCCTCCCCGGCCGGACCCAACTGGCGCGGGCCGCCATGGGCGGCTCCAGCGCTGCGCCTCCGGGAGGGCCGGACTCACTGGGATCAGCCGACCCCAGCGCTCTGCCGCGTGTTACCTCAGCTGCTGCGTCCGCAAAACGTCTCCGGGTTTCTGCAGGTGAGACGCGAGCGCGACTCACACACAAACACGCCCCTAGTGGTTACACGGGCAGAGCGCGGGGACTCGGGGAACTGGGGCGTCGTCGGGGACGCGGCCGGCCCGAACGGCAGCGGAGGCCCCGGCGGCCCGCAGCGCC